CTCACAAGACTACATCTCCCAGCATGCAACATTCAAATGGCCTGAGGACAACCGGCTGGCAGCTATTTGAACCCGGAACAGCAGATACAACCATCCATGTTTTATTTTCCTTCAACTATTGCGATGAATGACAAGGAATAAACTATACAATACAACAAAATGACACTGAATCAACCTATAAAAAAAGAACATTTTTCCTTTTTTTGTAAATTCTTTCAAGCGGTGAACAGTAAGGTCAGCACGTTGCTTTCCGATCCCCACGGAGAAGAAAAAGTGGCACTAGCCCACTGGACTACGCAGATATGGTCATATTCAAATATGACCGAAATAAATACATTTTTGGAAAGAATTTGAACGTCCCTCAGGGTAGGAAACAGAGAAGAGTAGAACACCGAGATGACATGAGGCAGTTGACCTGAAGATGTGTTAACCCTCACTTATACGCTCTCCTCTATGGCCCGACCTGCGGCTCGCTAGCCAAAAAGCACCACAGAAATACAGTAAACCATCTCCCCCGGAGCCAAAGACTCCTGGCGTTTGTGCCAAACTGGGAAAGAGGAGGAAAGAGATGGTGAGGGAAGTTAAAATATGGTAATATAGAGAGGAGTGGCAGCTTATTTCCTGTGTAGCGTTTCCTCCCGGGCTCTGCTCGCGATTCCCGTCCCAGCACTGAGCTCAGGATCACTCTGGGGAAGAGGGATTGTCGTCATCATCCTCGTCGTCCTCTTCCTCGTTGAAGGAGCTGGGCGTCTGGCCGCGAGACTCTGAGGCGTGTGACGGGGCCGTGCTGCTGTGACTGTGAACAGAGAGAGGGGATGTGAGATCAAGGAGGACCTGAATGAAAGCAGCGGTCGGGATATTTGGGGATGTTATGTTGACAGACATACCTTGTGAGGCTGAGAGGTGTTCTGTTGGAGTTTGTGGCCATGTCTGTAGGGACAGAATCACATGCTTTGTTTAGAAACCCGTATTAGGCCCCGTTTTACAAGATGTAATATAAGTCTGCGGTGTCCGCAGAATGTGTTTGTAGAGTTTCAGCTCAATATCCCCCACAGATCATTTATTATAACATTTTGAAAATGCCTCGTTTGAGTAAAAGCAGAAACCGTTTTAGTGCATGTCTCTTTAAATGCAAATGAGCTGCTGCTCCCCGCTCCCTTTTCCAGAATAGAGCTGTGTCTTTACAGCTGGTGCCTCAGATACTCCGCTAAAAACATCCGTTTGGTTTTGATTGTCTTTTCATGTCTTTTGCACTGAAATGATGCGTTTTAAAGCCATATTGGTTTAAACTTCTGAAATACGGTTTTCTGAACGCACAGAAAGCGGCGGTCACACGGCATGCGAGTACAAGACTAAATTCTCTTTCACGTCTTATTGCACTGAAACTGTCAAATACACATAAGTTTGTTAAAACACACGAGTTACAAGAACAGTCGGTTATGTCAGTGAAGGTAAACAGCTGGGAAAGAAATCGCATGTTTATATTAGATCTGTGTATTAAGTGAGAGCAGCGTAATATACAGTACTGTCTACGCTGTTAATGTGAGCCAAACAATAAAATAAAAACAGAAAATCACTCACTGCTCTGGACTGAGTAATTTCTGTAGTACTAATAAAAAGACATTCTTACTTGAATGCTGCTTTTAAATGCTCTAGCGTGAAGATAAACATGGCGGATTGTGTGCGGCTCACTCAGGGCGGGGGTTCTGCTAATACGGCAGTGTCTGTCAACAATTGTGGGTGGGGCTTCTGCGAATGGCTTCGACCAGTGGTTCTCAAACTTCTTTGGTCGTGCTCCCCTTTAAACCTATAAAAGAAATCTGACGGCCCCCCTCCCCGCTTTCCCGAATCCCCATCCCACCTCAGACTGCCAAATAATTTCACTAAACATTATGAAAAATGTGTTTTTTTTTTATTTAAAAAACCTACAGGAAAAAAAAAAAAAACACCTGCATCACTTGAAACATAAAAAAAATAGCATAGAGAGAATAACTGTTATTATTATTCTCTCTGTTATTTATTTATTTATTTTGCGGGTTTCATGCTGTCCGCTAAGGCATAGGACACACACAGGCTTTCCTCCTCACCAATGACATTAAACACCGTGTCTACACCGGACGCGAGCGGCTAAATACAGTAGAACCCATTATAATCAGTGACGCAGCGTGCCACGCCAAATCCCCGACAGTAAACTGATGTTTTGTTCTATTTATGACGTACTGACACAAAGTTAAAATTATTTGCAATGGTCACAGTCTATGGATGCGATGCAACAACTGTAGCGTCCGGTATAGACACAGTAAGTGAAGCCGAGAGCAAGATATGCGTCGTCATATTTTCAGCATTTAGCTTTTGAATGACCAGCACCTGCCTGGGTCTGTGGGACTTCATCTATAGCTTTTCTCTTCCCTTTCACAAATTCATCACCCATTCTAAGTTACGTCCTTTGGCTGTTTATTGTTTTATTTCTTTTCTTTTTCTGCTGATGGCCCGCGCCCCCCCTGCAATACTCGTGCGCCCCCCCTGGCGGGCGTGCCCCACACTTAGAGAACCACTGGCTTAGACACTACTTATGATTTATGGGGATTCAAAGAAAAGAATCATTGTAGGGTTGTTTGCGCACACACTGCCAACACACAATTATGTTCAAACAACATTTTTGCATAATAGGTGCCCTTTGTAGATAGCAACCCCACAGACATGCAACGTTGCTTTATTTGCACAGGAAGGAAGTCTGTGTAAAGCGGAGACTGATGTAGAAGGTGCAAAATAGATTTGCAAAAGCAAAAAAAAAACTAAACAAAAAACAGCACAGAATGCATGTTTATTATATAAACCAACTCTTTTCTATATCTATTATCAGAAAATTCTGTTTTTTAATGGATAAGTTTATTAAACCTTTAGAAAAACGATATATACTAAAAAATATGGCAATGTGTTTATTTATTGATTATCATATTTTATACCTCAGGCTTTTATGGCTCCATATAATATGATACAGTGAGAACATGAAGCTTATACTCAAAGAGGAAAAAAAGATAAAAAATATGCAATTTGGTGCAGATGCATATATTTATATGATAATATTCTGACATCTTGTACTGTAAATCAATGTCTTTATAACAGTATAGCAGATACTTCCATAAAACTATATAAATATCAGTTTTCATTCTGTCTCCAATAATATGTCTCAGTAAGGAGATATTTAAATGCTCAGTTTTACGATCAAAGCTCTGTAGTTTTTATTGTGAGGGCAAAACATATGACGCAATGCAATACAATGACAATTAAGAGTCAGATGCATCATATTTGAAATTCACATTTTAACATGATTTTCTAAAAACTGCTGTATGGATAGTCAAGTAAACCCAAGTTGCTTCAGTCCAGTAAACAAACAAAATATTAATAACAATATACAAGTTATTCCTATGTTTACTTTATGATTTCACAGCAAAAAGAAACATGAAGCATGAGCTGCAGGACTTTCTGTAATGATAAAAGGTCTTATACTTGCTAAAAAAATATGAATTATCCATCAGACGGCAGAAGCATGTGGTAGATTGTGTTTAACAGGTTTTTCAGCACGTTGATAATTTGTGTGTATCAAATATGATAGAGCAGGCTGTACAGGGTTAAACAAGTATTAGCTGCCTAAAAAAATACTTTTTCCCTGGGTCATTCCATTTTATTACACATAACTTCATTTCTGAACTTATTTGTTTTGTTTTCTTTGTATGTGTGGGTTACTTGGGTTGTTACCCACATCTGGTGAAAATGTCAAGTCAACAGCACCTTTAGAAATATATTTACTGGGAATAATGGTGACGTGTTCAATATTTATTTCCCCCGCTGAAAGTTATTTACAATTCGCTGCAGTGCAGATGATCAGGCATTTCCAGCAACAGTGAAATCAAACCAAGAAGAGTTCTTTTAAGATCCATGAGAATTATTTATAAGCTTTATAAGCTATTATATATAAGAACTGATGACGATGAGGGTTTCGGGGAGATTTTGTCAACCACAAGCATCACTGACAGAAAGGTGGTCATACTCACTGGTGACATGTGCTTCCAGAGACTTGGGCACCAGAGATCTGGCCACGCTGAGGTTCTCTGGAGAGCATGTGCCGTTCTCCAGCCCCAGAGACATGCCCATCCGCTTCAGGATCTCAACGTCATCATGGATCTCAAACGTGTTGTCAAAGTTAAAGAGGTATTCACACCTGTTTGCAGGAACGAGTCAAAGATACCATCATTACAGTCAGTGCATAAAATGGTAAAGTAAATGCCCAGTAACAATACACTACCAATTAAAAGTTTAGGGTCAGTAGGATTTAGTTTTTTTGAAAGAAATGAATTCTGACATTCAGCAAGGATGCATTAAATTGATCAAAAGTGACAGTAAAGATATTTGTTACAAAAGATTTCTTTTGCAAATAAATGCTGTTCTTTTGAATTTTCTATCCATCAAAGAATCCTGAAAAATAATCCACAAAAATATAAAGCACCACAACTGTTTTCAACATTGATAATAATCAGAAATCAGCATATCGAAATGATTTCTGAAGGATCATGTGACACTGAAAACTAGAGTAATGATGCTGAAAATTCAGCTTCGATCACAGCAATAAATGACATTTTACAATATATTAAAACAGAAAACAGTTATTTCAAATTGTAATAATATTTCACAATATTATTGTTTTAACTCTTTTGATTTTTGATCATAAATGCAGCCTTGGTGAGCAGAACCTTATTTTGTTTTATTTGTTTTTAAATAGATGTATGAATTATCATTTACCCGGTTTATTTATCCATTTTATGAAGGATCATATGACACTAAAGGCTGTAATGATGCTGAAAATTAATCACAGGAATACATTCAAATAGAAGCTATTTTACACTGTAATAATATTTCGTTTTTTTTTTGTTTTTTTTTTAAATCAAATAAATCCAGCCTTGCTCAACACAAGACTGAAATTTGAAATGTTTTTCTGAAATGAGCATTTTTCTCAAGCTCCTATGTGTAGGTTCAGTAATTTCACTTGAATAAGTTTTTCATTGCCAATAAAGTGAAATAACTGAACATAAATATCGGAAAATGCTAGAAAAATGCACATTTTAGAAGAACATTTCAAACGGCACTTAGAGGCTTTTGCATCTGAACTCTTCATATATACACACACATTTACAACCAAAGAACCTTGTTTATTTATCCATTTTACTAGGTTTATGAAATCAGTGGAGGATATTTCTACAGAAGAGAGAAAGGGAGAGAGCCGTAAGAAAAATGGAGAACAGAAGCCAAACGCTCAGACTGCCAAATAATTTCACTAAACATTATGAAAAATGCGTTTTTTTTTTTTATTTAAAAAACCTACAGGAAAAAAAAAAAAAAAACACCTGCATCACTTGAAACATTAAAAAAATAGCATAGAGAGAATAACTGTTATTATTATTCTCTCTGCACCTGCCTGGGTCTGTGGGACTTCATCTATAGCTTTTCTCTTCCCTTTCACAAATTCATCACCCATTCTAAGTTACGTCCTTTGGCTGTTTATTGTTTTATTTCTTTTCTTTTTCTGCTGATGGCCCGCGCCCCCCCTGCAATACTCGTGCGCCCCCCCTGGCGGGCGTGCCCCACACTTAGAGAACCACTGGCTTAGACACTACTTATGATTTATGGGGATTCAAAGAAAAGAATCATTGTAGGGTTGTTTGCGCACACACTGCCAACACACAATTATGTTCAAACAACATTTTTGCATAATAGGTGCCCTTTGTAGATAGCAACCCCACAGACATGCAACGTTGCTTTATTTGCACAGGAAGGAAGTCTGTGTAAAGCGGAGACTGATGTAGAAGGTGCAAAATAGATTTGCAAAAGCAAAAAAAAAACTAAACAAAAAACAGCACAGAATGCATGTTTATTATATAAACCAACTCTTTTCTATATCTATTATCAGAAAATTCTGTTTTTTAATGGATAAGTTTATTAAACCTTTAGAAAAACGATATACTAAAAAATATGGCAATGTGTTTATTTATTGATTATCATATTTTATACCTCAGGCTTTTATGGCTCCATATAATATGATACAGTGAGAACATGAAGCTTATACTCAAAGAGGAAAAAAAGATAAAAAATATGCAATTTGGTGCAGATGCATATATTTATATGATAATATTCTGACATCTTGTACTGTAAATCAATGTCTTTATAACAGTATAGCAGATACTTCCATAAAACTATATAAATATCAGTTTTCATTCTGTCTCCAATAATATGTCTCAGTAAGGAGATATTTAAATGCTCAGTTTTACGATCAAAGCTCTGTAGTTTTTATTGTGAGGGCAAAACATATGACGCAATGCAATACAATGACAATTAAGAGTCAGATGCATCATATTTGAAATTCACATTTTAACATGATTTTCTAAAAACTGCTGTATGGATAGTCAAGTAAACCCAAGTTGCTTCAGTCCAGTAAACAAACAAAATATTAATAACAATATACAAGTTATTCCTATGTTTACTTTATGATTTCACAGCAAAAAGAAACATGAAGCATGAGCTGCAGGACTTTCTGTAATGATAAAAGGTCTTATACTTGCTAAAAAAATATGAATTATCCATCAGACGGCAGAAGCATGTGGTAGATTGTGTTTAACAGGTTTTTCAGCACGTTGATAATTTGTGTGTATCAAATATGATAGAGCAGGCTGTACAGGGTTAAACAAGTATTAGCTGCCTAAAAAAATACTTTTTCCCTGGGTCATTCCATTTTATTACACATAACTTCATTTCTGAACTTATTTGTTTTGTTTTCTTTGTATGTGTGGGTTACTTGGGTTGTTACCCACATCTGGTGAAAATGTCAAGTCAACAGCACCTTTAGAAATATATTTACTGGGAATAATGGTGACGTGTTCAATATTTATTTCCCCCGCTGAAAGTCATTTACAATTCGCTGCAGTGCAGATGATCAGGCATTTCCAGCAACAGTGAAATCAAAGCAAGAAGAGTTCTTTTAAGATCCATGAGAATTATTTATAAGCTTTATAAGCTATTATATATAAGAACTGATGACGATGAGGGTTTCGGGGAGATTTTGTCAACCACAAGCATCACTGACAGAAAGGTGGTCATACTCACTGGTGACATGTGCTTCCAGAGACTTGGGCACCAGAGATCTGGCCACGCTGAGGTTCTCTGGAGAGCATGTGCCGTTCTCCAGCCCCAGAGACATGCCCATCCGCTTCAGGATCTCAACGTCATCATGGATCTCAAACGTGTTGTCAAAGTTAAAGAGGTATTCACACCTGTTTGCAGGAACGAGTCAAAGATACCATCATTACAGTCAGTGCATAAAATGGTAAAGTAAATGCCCAGTAACAATACACTACCAATTAAAAGTTTAGGGTCAGTAGGATTTAGTTTTTTTGAAAGAAATGAATTCTGACATTCAGCAAGGATGCATTAAATTGATCAAAAGTGACAGTAAAGATATTTGTTACAAAAGATTTCTTTTGCAAATAAATGCTGTTCTTTTGAATTTTCTATCCATCAAAGAATCCTGAAAAATAATCCACAAAAATATAAAGCACCACAACTGTTTTCAACATTGATAATAATCAGAAATCAGCATATCGAAATGATTTCTGAAGGATCATGTGACACTGAAAACTAGAGTAATGATGCTGAAAATTCAGCTTCGATCACAGCAATAAATGACATTTTACAATATATTAAAACAGAAAACAGTTATTTCAAATTGTAATAATATTTCACAATATTATTGTTTTAACTCTTTTGATTTTTGATCATAAATGCAGCCTTGGTGAGCAGAACCTTATTTTGTTTTATTTGTTTTTAAATAGATGTATGAATTATCATTTACCCGGTTTATTTATCCATTTTATGAAGGATCATATGACACTAAAGGCTGTAATGATGCTGAAAATTAATCACAGGAATACATTCAAATAGAAGCTATTTTACACTGTAATAATATTTCGTTTTTTTTTTGTTTTTTTTTTAAATCAAATAAATCCAGCCTTGCTCAACACAAGACTGAAATTTGAAATGTTTTTCTGAAATGAGCATTTTTCTCAAGCTCCTATGTGTAGGTTCAGTAATTTCACTTGAATAAGTTTTTCATTGCCAATAAAGTGAAATAACTGAACATAAATATCGGAAAATGCTAGAAAAATGCACATTTTAGAAGAACATTTCAAACGGCACTTAGAGGCTTTTGCATCTGAACTCTTCATATATACACACACATTTACAACCAAAGAACCTTGTTTATTTATCCATTTTACTAGGTTTATGAAATCAGTGGAGGATATTTCTACAGAAGAGAGAAAGGGAGAGAGCCGTAAGAAAAATGGAGAACAGAAGCCAAACGGGTGGAGAAAGATCTCGTACTTATCACTCGAGATGGAGCAGTCGATGACGGTGCGGACGTCAGTGTTGAGAATGATAAAGGGAAGCTGAATGACAGATCCTGGAGGGGGAGTTGACTGGGACAAGGCTTCGCTGGCCTGGTTCCTCTGCACCAGATTCTTAAAGGCGATCTGCTGCTCACGGATCAAAGAGACGCACAGATCAGCACACCCCCTTAAAGGTCCACTCATTAAAGGGTTAGTTCACCCCAAAATTAAAATTCTGTCATTAATTACTCACCCTCATGTTGTTCAAAACCCGTAAGACCTTCGTTCATCTTCGGAACACAATTTAAGATATTTTTTATGAAATCTGAGGGCTCTCTGACCCTTCCATAGACAGCAAGGTAACTACCACGTTCAAGGTCCAGAAAAGTACCAAGATGATCGACAAAGTAGTCCGTGTGACATCAGTGGTTCAGCTGTAAAGTTACGAAGCTACGAGAATACTTTTTTTGTGCAAAGAAAACAAAAATAACGACTTTATTCGACATTTTCGTCTCTACTGCATCACTTTGGACGTGCATTCACAACAGTATCATGACGCGAGCGTGTGGCGGCGCTGGTAGTTACCTTGCTGTCTATGGGAGGGTCAGAGAGCCCTCAGATTTCATCAAAAATATCTTAAATTGTGTTCCGAAGATGAACAAAAGTCTTACGGGTTTGGAACAACACGAGGGAGAGTAATTAATGATGAGAGTGAACTAACCCTTTAACCTTAAATCAGTCAGCATGTTGATAAATAAAAGCTTTGTGTGGTCAGTCTCGGGATGTGTGGGGGTTGGTCAACGACTAGGACCGAGCCAGTGCATGTAATTTAGCGCTCCAGAAGCCCTCCCAGCTCTTGATCAATATCCCAGCAGGACCAAGGTCTCTTCTGATCCCTCCACACATCTACGCTTCATCGCTGTGATCTGTTGCATTACACGCCGTATCATTAACGGTCATCTATAGTAACGCCGCTCATCAACACAAACTGACAGCAGTGATTTGCTGAGCTTCTGTGTGTGGCCTTTCATTTGACTGCAGGAGATGGATGGCGTTCTCATCTCACTTTAGAAAAAAACAAATCAATATGAGAGGTTTGCTGCTTTTCCACAGCTGGCCACTGTTAATGTGTCCCTCCGCCTCTCATCTGCTGTTTTTACTCATCCTTTCGTTATGGAGTGAGGCTGGTTAGCACTGATGACGAAAAGAACTTGATGCTGTTCAGTGGGAAAAGAAAAAAAAAAAAAGATTCTCTGATGCATTGATATTCTCTTTTCAAAAACTTCAGAATTGATTCTGAGCTTTTTTGCCCCATGTGTGCAATGACACTTTTGCTTTTTGCCAATTTCACGCAAACTCACACAATAATATACTGAAAGTATATAAACTTGCATTTCAAAGGTTTCATGGTTGAAGCAAAATATAAGGCCAATCGCGGGCTACATTGCACAGCATCTGCGCTGTGAGAAACGTGAGCTTTGCTTGACAACGTGTGGTTTCAACTCGCCGGTATTTCAGTGTTTTACCTTCCAAAAGCTGTATGAAGGCAACATTTATGCCGTTTGGAGTGCAGTATAAATTTGATACACAAACACTCATTTATAAACGTATGTGTTCAAATGCTCACATATATTTGTGTGTCAAGGTATGACATAACTAAACGTAGGGCTGGGCGATACAGCCAAAAAATTATCACGATATATATATTTTTTTCATATCAGTCGATATCGATAATTATCACGATAAACGTCAAATTGTATTTCTTTCACGTTTAAAAGGCAGATTTTTGCTCCAATGTGAAAGTTGCAAAAACCAGACGGTTAATTGTGGTTTTAAACTATTCTTTATGGTCAGAACATGACAAACAATTTGTTTTTTAATTCTTCATACTTTTCCAGTCATTTTTCTTTAACAAAATAAAAATCTTAATAGAAAAAAGTAATTTCTTAGTTCTGCATGTTCTAATAAGTAATATTGTTTCAAATCAAGAAACAGGTTTGTGTTGCCTGATAATATTAATAATATAAAATGTTTGTCTCTTAGAAATACACATTTGATAGTAGCTTGAGTTACGCAGATGTAGATTTATGTTCAATATCAAAGTCAGTAATATCTATAAAAATTGTAGCAATCTCAAACTTAATTTAATGAAATTTAATTATTCTGACTGTTTGAGGTGTTTTTTTTTTATAGTTCATGCAACCACACATAGTAAATGGCTCACAAAAACAAAAATCACTGCTCTAGTATTTATAAGTAAATCTTACTTGATTTCCGTCAGTGAATATGTTCACATGCATTACAAAACACTAAAAACTCTTTTTCCATTTTCCAAAAAATCCATTTACATGCAAAGCAAAAATCTAGGTGTGTCCATTAGGTTTTGCTTAAACCGTTAATGACTTTTCCTCGATAAAATCACATACAGTTATGCAGAGTTCACACTGCACGATTTTCAAAGTCATCGGATCACCGTTGTTCTCACACTGCACGGCTCTCTGGGGTAGCATTCAGTTGCTGCTGTGGTCACACTGCACGATGGATCGGCGACAGGAGGTTACACACTGCATGACTTTATAATAGGAAGAATCGCTGACAACTCTGTAAAACTACGTTTCACAACCAAACGCACACGAGAACTGATAAGTAAATAGCGCAAGATCACGCTGATATGTGGTCTATAAGTCCTCCCAGAACACACAATAACAAAGATGACTTCCTTGTTAACAACATACTTCTTTGTTTGTACATGGCTAATTGCTTAATAAAAAATAAAAAATGGCAAAAAGGTCCTCCCCAAACTTCCCGCCGCCCTGTATCTTGCTCTCTCATTGGCTGTAGGTCATCGCCGATGTATTTTTCAATCAGAACTCATTTCACACAGCAGAATTTTGAATCGCCGACATGTCCAGATATTTAGCATGCCAAATATTTCACAGGCATTCTCTCAGATCGTGTCTTCGATAATAAAATTGTCGGCGATTTCGCAAAACCTATCAGCGAGTGAAAATCGGGGCTAAAATCATGTAGTGTGAACTCGGCATTAAGCACAGTCTGTGCATTAACTCAAATATACCCCAGTTAAACCAATATTCTGGTTAATCAAAATCTGAATAAGACAGTCGGGATATGCCTCTATGAATCTGGATTCTTTAAGATGAACCTGTCAAACATGTCTTTAGTTAATTCATTTAGTTTTGTTTTTTTTCTAACTCCCCAGTTATAGTTAGCTAGACAGATAATTTTATTTTGGTGATGCAATTTGCCACTACACATTTAATTAATTTATTCGTTTATGACAAACAAACAAAAGTTTAGGTTTGCAAGACCTAAAAACCCATGTGCTTAATAAATACATTTTAGATTTAGTGAACACAGCACTCACCTGATGGTTTTGTCAACTTCTCTCACAATTATTACGCACAGTTGTGGTCATAAATTTACATACACATTGTAAAATCTGTCAAACGTTAACATGAAAGTATTAAAATTGCATTTTGGATACATACTTTTGAGATCCATCTTTTCAAACTTAGAACAAATGAGGACATTCAACTAGTAACTCATTAATTTGTGTAAATTCAGTAAATGTTTTGTCTTGTGGACTATACATAAACATTGGTTATGTGAAATAGCTTATTCAAGGCAGTAGTAAATAAAACCAATTTTCATAATGCCTCATATTTTCTTAAATTGTTAACATTTTGCAGATTCTGCAAGGTGTACAGTATGTCAACTTTTGAGCTCAAGTGTATATGTGAATATTCCAGTTGTTTTTCTGAATAAACACACAACCAGAAAATGATGCAAATGTAAATATCTTTGGGATAAATGGGAAGGTCTTCTGTGTGAGTGAATTTGTCTTTCACCTCTAAGTTGCGGCACTCTTGGGCTGAGTTTGTGGGCAGGCCGATCCAGCGGATCTCCTTCTTCTCTTTAGAGATGATGTTCATGGCCATCAACACGTTGAGCGCGTCGTACACACGCCGGCGGATGTTCTTCTGGTCGTACACCTGCTGCAAGTGCAGACACACAGCCTCTATTAATGTCACAAATCACACGGAGACGAGCGATCATCCGCCCCAAAACCCTGCGTCTGCGCTAAAGTCGCTTTTAATTACACCTTTTAGCATTCCACCAGGGGTGAGAGATTAAACTCCAGTCCAGGAAACATCAGGTGGGCTGTCAGAACTAATAGCGGTCTATTCACTCCAGGCAGAAGGAGTCCTTATGCAATGATCTAAGGCCAGCGTCCAAACCCAAAGTCTCATTATAAAAGAGATATTATCGGAGATCACCGTTCCTGCTTAGGGTTTTGGGACACAACCAGACGAGAGCTGGACATTGTGCAGCACTACAAGAAGTGCTCGACGTTCTTCATAAACCACAGACAGATAAATCACAGCTCATATTAACAAGAGACGCTGCGGGAGGGACCTGGAGAACTTTAACATCTTTTACCGGCCCAGATCTGTTTTATTCTGCTGTGTAAACAGAGGCAGAGTAAGTGATGGTCATTTAGGTGAGGCATAATGGTGACTATATGCATATTTCATATCTGAAAGACCAGTCCAATGAAAGTCTTAGAACATCAATAGCAAATGGTACTAAGAAAGCATTGGGTAAAATCCATTATGACTTTTAACAGCTCAGTGGCAGTGTTAAATGCGGGAGTCATTAACCTTAATTTTAGGGCTGGGTATTCAGTAGGGGTGGGAATCATTTGGATTCGATTAAAAACGGGATGGCCATCACACCAGTATTTTGATACAAAAACACACCAGTCTGTAGTATGGTTTGTCCTGACTTAAGAAATCAATAACTATTAACTTCCTAATAAATCAAAATTATTTTACACTTCCCATTAGGGATGTGCCCAAATCTGAATATCTTGCTGGGAAAGGAAATTACATGTACTACGGAACCCCTAAAGGGAATAAATACGAGATGGAGAAAAAATAAAGAAAAATGCTTTCTCTCGTAGTAATTATACTGTATATAAATTGTGGGCATCAGGGAGCCATTATTAATATGCAGGACATTGAAATTGCTTTTGAATGCACGCTCGCTTTTTACTTTCACTTTCAATTTTTTGATATAATTTCATTCGATACACATTTATTTAGATATATAGGCAATCAGGTACAGAACATGTCAATTTTTATTCCAATTTAAGACAATCTCTCAAATAATGCTGTAAACTATACAATAACCCTGTCAGTTGGTACACTATTATATTAAACTGATCGCAATTAATCGATTTGACAGCTGTAATATATATTTATACATAGCATTAAATAAGAACAGATGATTAGTTCACATCACAGCACATTAAAGAGAGCCAAAACTTTTGTTTGAATTTCATAATAAAATGGACATAATTTGAAAGCTGATAATTGGTTTCATTTATTGGATGGCAGGCTACAAATAAAGTTTCATTAAGTTTTGTTCATGCATCAACTGAAAACAGCATAGACTGATTTTTGGGATTTAAGAATATCGATATCGCTTCATCAAAATGAGAACCAAATAAAACAAAGAAATCCATATTTTCAACCTTAGCCCTATTAGGTTTAATACTATCTCAAAGTATGAGCAACAGTAAAAACGGCAAGGGATCGACCTTAAATTCACATCACGGTTGTGTTATTCTGTGGAACTCACCGAGTCAGCGGGCATCAGGCTGTTGGCGTGAGTGAATTCAGCCACCAGCTCATCAGCCACCTCGTTGTAGGACGTAGTGCCTTTCTTTTGTACCTTCTCACACACCTTCATGGAGAAGTGCCTCAGGCCTTTACCGTTCTTATCTGCCCTCTTCATTCTCTTACTGCAGAGACAAAGAAAGAAAAAAAGAGTGAGAGTTTGCACGTTTCATTTCTGGACAATACATGTAAAGGAAAGCTTTGGGTTAGTTCACCCAAAAATGAAAATTAGCCCATGAATTACTCACCCTCAAGGCATCCTAGGTGTATATGACTTTCTTCTTTCAGACGAATCCAGTCGGAGTTACTGTATATTAAAAATTGTCTTTGATCTTTCAAGCGGTTTAATGGCAGTCAGCCGGTGCTGCAGTGCATCAGTCCAAAAGAAGTGAAATAAAGTGCATGCATCCATAATAAAAAGTGCCTCACACTGCTCCGGGGGGTGAACAAAGGCCTCCTTTAGCAAATCGATGCATTTTTGTAAGAAAAATAACATATTTAAAATGTAATAATCACTTTAATCTAGCGTGCGCTCACTGTTGTACACGGAAGCAGCTCTGGGCGGATGACGTAGGATGTTGGCGTTGCGCATGCGCCGCTCAGAAGTGACGAACGCAGAAGCGCAGGGGAGAGATAAAAACTAAAAAATGGTCACTAATTAGAAGTACAAAACGAGGATTTGTAAAGAAGAATGTCGGAGGATTTCGATAGAAGTCAAGAGGAGACTGGTTTTCCTTTGCTAAAGTAAGGAAACTTTGCTTCCTTTGCTCCTATAAACAAACGTTGGTTTTCACGAGACACACCGGCGCATGTGCAACGCTGACCTCATATGTCATCCTCCCGGAGCTGCTTCCGTGTGCAACTGTTGGCGCAAGCTAGACTAAAGTGATTATTACGATTTGATTATGGATATTTTTCTTACAAAAACGCATCGATTTGCTACAGGAGGCCTTTGTTCACTCCCCGGAGCTGTGTGAGGCACTTTTTATTATGGATGCATGCACTTTATTTCACTTCTTTTGGACTGATGCACTGCAACACCCGCTGACTGCCATTAAACAGCTTGGAAGGTCAAAGACAATTTTTAATATAACTCCAATTGGATTCATCTTAAAGGAGGAAGTCATATACGCCTAGGATGGCTTGAGGGTGAGGTGAACTATCCCTTCAAAAAAAAAAAAAAAGAGGTAAATTTCAAAATAAACCAACTTAGCAGAAAGACAATGAAGAGTGTAAACATTAGTAACAATAAGATTTGTTGCATTATGTGCATTGTTTTAATAACAATTAAACCCTTTCCAATTCTCACTACCGTAATGCAAAAAACCCTCCAAAACTCATTAACGTAATGTGAAAAAACAATTTTTATCTTAATAATAATTTTAATTAAAATTCCTTTTTAATTAAAAATGAATGTGTTGAAGCAAAAAATACTATATTACAGCAACGAGAATCACCACTGATAATGAGAATAATATCACAATGCAAAAAAATCATAATACTAATAACATTGGCTTCATTTTCTTCATGTAAAATTTAATTTATTTTTTTTTCTTTCAGATTTGGGGTGAAAAGTGAAAGAATGTCAAAAGAATGAATTTTAAAATAATAACAAGCACACACATGATGAGTGTGAGAGAGAAAGTGAGTGACTCAACGTGACGACAACATCGCCGCCGCATGGATACAACCACACTCATTCACTCAGTCCATTCATCTCTGTCACCAATAGGAATAAAGTACAGAGAGATGGATAGTGCACGTGTTACAAATAAAACAGAACACACGAGAAAGCACTAGACTCTAAAAACCCAATAAACCCAGACAAATCTAAAACTAGATTGTTATAGGTGTTCTGAGTGGTTTGCAAGATGATTGCTATGATGTCGTGGCCATTTCTAGGGAGTTGTTAGGGTTGTTGTTAGTTGAGTGTGCCTCAAATTCCTGTGTGTAAAGCCTGATCAAACAAAAATGTGACAAAAAAACATTGATTTGTTACCTTGTTAACAAAAACCCTAACAAAAAAAAGCTAACAAAAACCCTAAATGTGTGATTTAATCATCTACAGCTTTGGTTGTATACTATTATATAATGATTTGCAAATAAATGGAAGTAGCATATGTTATGGTGGGGACTTGGTTCAATTCAACAGTTGTTGATTGGATTTTAAGATGGGGCGGTTGCACTTAAAAGTTAATGCAAGCTTGATTGTGGAGGGGCGGCGTTTAAGTGGACCAAATGATTGGAGAAGTCTGACATATGTTCATTCACATTAAGAGCTATAAAATGCATTTACAAAACAGAGTGAATCTTTATTTAATGTCAACTTTAGTAGACATTAATGGTCGTAATAGCAAAGTAAAAATATTGACAAAGCCATTTTGTAAGGTTTCTAACAGGCACTGATACCCATTAAAAGTTCTTTCAGCCAGTGAAATAACTCTGACGTCCTAGACGGCCTCAACAGGTGAACCAAACTGTTTAAGATAGCAGCAGAGGAAAAAAAGCCAAGGGGCCGTTCACACATAATGCATCTTTGTGTCTAAAAATGCAAGCAGCAGCACTCAGGAATGGAGAAAAAAAATAAAAAATAAAAAAAAAATAAAAAAATAAATAATAATAATAATAATATATATATATATACATACATATACATACACACACATATAAAGCACAGTGCAGAATGCCTCCTCTGGTCTGTTGCCATCTCAAACAACAGTTGTCATGCTAACTTGCTACTGTAAACAAAAGCTAGCAATGTTTGCCCCGCCTCCGGGGTCTTCTGATTGGTCCACTGTTGCGCTGCGTGTAAAAGTTGAAATTCTTTTAACTTGACACGGTATCTTAAAAATGTGGCACTCGTGTGTGATCCGCTGCAAAAGACGTGAGACGCGAGTGCAAGGGTCATACACGTCCATCTAACGTGTTCACATGGAAAAACAATGTAAAAGTAGCAAATCTGAATGAAAAAAAACTGGAGCATTAGCAGTTTTCTAATGCAGAGTTCACAATTCATGATTTTAGCCCCGATTTTCACTCGCCGACAGGTTTTGTGAAATTGCAGACAAATGGGTGAAATCGGAGGCAAATCGGTGCTCGTTCACGTGAGTGACAATCACGCAGCGTGATTTATCAAAGATGCGATGTGAGAGAATCGCAGACGCTGGCGCCCGTGAAATATCTGGCATGTCGGCAAACTCTGAGAACTCTGATCTCACGTGTGATCTTGCGTTATTTCCTTATCACTTCTCGTGTGCGTTTGGTTGTGAAACGTAGTTTTTACAGAGTTGAAAATTCAGCTTTGCTTCACAGGAATAAATTTGATTTTAAAGTATATTAAAATAGAAAACTTATTTTAAATTGCAACAATATTTCACAACATCACAGATTTTTTCGGAATTTTTGATCAAATAGATACAACCTTGATGAGCATAAAAAACTTCTTTAAAAAACAAAATGAATTCAAATTCAAAAAACAGTTTAATTAGACTACTGGAGACGTTTCAGTTTATGTGAGGGGTTAAGAGATAGAACTTTAATTTAAACAGGTACAAATACATTTTATTAGTCATAACCTCTGGAGAGAAATACTGCAGATGCTGAACAAGGATGAGACTTCCTAATGTGCGTGTGTCGAAAGGCGCTGTGTGCACACACAAGTGTTTGCATCGAAACTGAAGTATACTCTGGGCTTCACAGACACCAGCGGGTTACATAATCCATCTGTGACCGCAAGTGAGGCGTGCCGCACTAACTGGAATTACTTTGTTGTTACACATGCGGAGATGCACTGTCTGATGTCATACGCATGGTGCGTGTAAACGCTTGTGAGAGATAAAACAAAGACATGGCTCAGGGTTCGATGGTGTGCCAAGCCAAGCACACAAACGCGACTGGTCCGGAGGAGAATTCATTCATTCGCTTTCTCCCTCACACGCAAGCAGTATAAATAACGCAATTGCACTGTGGGGTGAATTATGTAACCGGCACTCAATGAAGGAGAGAGGTGCGGTGGAAACAGGAGGAACACTGGGAGAGAGGGGAGGGAGCAGCGGCGGCTGATTGGGGTTTCAGTCGTCAGGACAAATTAGTTCCAGACCCCCAGCTCAACAAAATTCGTCCCTAATTGACTGAAAGTACTGCAGTGGCATAAGAGGGATGCTCACGCAGCTCTGTGACGGAGAAGTGTGCACGCATTCACACACGCAAGTGGCTCTCGCAGGTCCTCGTGTGTAACATACATGCGCACACACACACACCGATTTCTGCTTAGCAACAGTGCCGAGATGTGATCCCCCCCCCCTGTGTAGTGTTTCAGCATCATGGAAATGCAGTCTCAGGACAGAAAAGAGAGAGGGAGGGCTGAAAAAGAAGGAGGAGGAGAGAGGGGGAGGGAGATTCATCTGACCTTTACGCAGGAGAAGACACATCTGCCAGAATGCAGCAAAAACGAGAAGAGGCTCAGGAGAGTCACAGAAGGGCAACGATGTGTGTCTGTGCTTGATTGCAAAGTAAAGCTATTTATAATTTGAATGGGCCTAAACAGGAAATAACTAGATTAAATCAGAATACAAAATTGCATGTATTTAATAATTAAGGATGAAGTGTGTTTTCCACAGCATTAAGCACCACTGTAAAATGAATGACTGTTTTCAAACAGGTTTCCTGAACACTCCCCCTCGTCTGCTACTGGTCATAAACAGATAGCCCCTCCCCAAACTCAATATTTTGGGTCAGGATGTCCTGACCGTATCACAGAGCTCGTACTGCTTTGGAAACTAAATCAAAATTATTTTGGGGTAGAAGATACAATTTAAAAAATGTGTAATTTTTGCTCATTTTTAGTAACCAAGTCAAAAATGTGAGTAAAATAAGGGAAACCGTGAAAATAAAAGAGGGTTCAATCCGTAAAAAAGAAAAAAAAAGCGTAAAAACATTATTGAAAATGTGATTTAGTTATTGAAGGGGTCATAGGATGCTACATGCACTTTTACAAGTTGTTTGAACTGAAATGTGTGTTGGCAGTGTGTACACAACCACCCTATAATGATAAAAATCCACCCAGTGTTTTTTTTTAAAAATCTACTAAAATCTTTACCCCTTTCTCAAATCGAGCCGATCTCAGATGCCTGTCTGTGTGATGCCCCTCCCACGATAGTTTGATTGACAGTAGTGTTTCAGCACAGACTGGACTGGTGTCTTACCTTAGACCCGCCCTGAGTGACTGTCATTAGTCCGCCACTGTTTCACCGCCGGAGCGGTGACTCCTAAGCGATTGAGGTGTTCTGTTGTTGGATGTAATAATGAACATAGCAGTCGTCATTTACTCCTGACATCTGAGCTGCTGAAGACACAGTGGATTCCCTTTGTTCTTGAAGGGAATGCGCCCCCTGATCTACCTAAATGCGCCCATGTTCGCGCAAATTATTCTTGATCCAGCTTCATCTACAGAAGAAGTGAGTATAAGGTTTTTTTAATGAATCTTTGCAAATCGCCTTTCCTAATAATGTGCTAATTAGCAAGTTTCACGATGAATGCGGCTAAAGTAAACAGTCCCTCTGAGAGCGGCTCTGAAGAGAGGGGCGGGGTCAGCAGAGCTCATTAACATTTAAAGGAATATGCTATAAAACGGATCGCTCTGAAAAGAGCCGTTTTTGACAGGGTAAAAAAGGTGTTTTTACACTACCATTGAGAAATTTTAACCAAACTGTGTTACAGACTTTTCATTAAGACCCTAAAGAAACATATCAACTTGAAAATGGGCATCCGATGACCCCTTTAACATTTACAAACCAATATATTAAAGGGGTCATATGATGCGATTTCAAGTTTTCCTTTCTCTTTGGAGTGTTACAAGCTGATTGTGCATAGATAAGATCCCTGAAGTTGCAAAGACTAAAGTCTCAAAACCAAAGAGATATTCTTTATCAAAGTTAAGACTCTGCCACGCCCCCCTAAAACGGCTCGTTCTAACACGCCCCCACATATCTACATCACTATGTGGAAATATTAGCATAATGACGCCCAAATGTGCACGCAAAGAAAGAAGGCGTGGTTTCAGTAACCGCAGTTAGTGTTGAAGCAACATGTAAGGGAGACACTGTGTGTTTCTAGGAGAAAGCAAAAGCACTTTATTTGGCCTTCCAGAAGTAAATGCATTTAGGAATCTTTAAGATTACTTACAACAGAACAGCAATGCATTTTATGGACGACCGTTTCGTGAACCTAGGAGAGGAGGTCATTCAGAATCAGCTACTGTTTTGTTATTGGTTTAAGTATTTGCTATTGACTGTTCAAATGCAGAGTTTTGTGCATTGTGTGTGTGTGTGTGTGTGTGTGTGCGCGAGAGAGAGCGAGCGAGCGAGCGAGACACATCACAGTGGAGACAGCTGTCTTAACCGTGGCTTGTGTACTGCAAACACATATTCATCACTGTGTCTGTCACAAGACTCTGTTCCCCTTTCGGGATCTGTCTTTACATTTAATTTTAAAGATGAAACTCGCGATTATGGTAAGGGGCGTTACATTTCCGACGAGTGCTTGCAGTGTTCGGCCAATCACAATGCACTGGGTCAGCTGGCCAATCAGAGCAGACTGCGCTTGTCGGAAGGAGGGACTTTGTAGAAAACGAAGCGTTTGAGAGAGGCGGGGCATAGAGGACCTACAATAATGTACAGTATTTTAAAAATAATGTGTTTTTTGAACATTAAAGCATGTCAACATATTCTGTTACACCAAATACACAAAATAATGATCTTTAAAAAAGCATCATATGACCCCTTTAAGCGAGTGTGATTGGTGAGAAAATATTAATAAATAAATAAACTGCTATATACATCTGCACATTGGCCTATTGACACTTTTCCATATGTTTTCTTTGATCAGACAGCTATCAGATCGCGAAAAGACCAGGCATAAACGCCCTCAGAAACAGATTTGAGATGGATTGTAATCTGGTCACATAAACCACTTCAGGAGGATTTTTGAGATGCATTCCTGACTCAACTGGACACGTGTAAAGTGTGTGAGAGTGTGTTATACCGGCTCCCCACTACCACAACACGCATCTCCACAGATAATGATGCAAATGAAAATCATTGTTCAGCGTCACATCTTCAATCTGGGGAATCTTTGCATGTTCAATCCATAGTTAACTTAATTAAAAGTGGTGAACGCTGTTGCGGTCTTTGAGCTTGAAATCAGCTGACAATAATAAAATGCAGTGATATGTTGCTTTCGGTGACATAAAAAAAAAAAAAAATGTGTATATAGTGTGGGAACTGAAAAATGGAAGGAGATATTTTAAAGAATGTTGGTAACCAAACATGTTGCTGTTGGTATTTTTTATTTTTTTTCATACTATGGAAGTCAATGGCTATGGTCAACTGTTTGGTTGCCAACATTCTTCAAATATCATCTTTTGTGTTCAACAGCTGAAATAAAGCCATACAGGTTTGGAACAACTCGAGGGTGAGTAAATGATGACAGGATTTTCATTTTTTGGGGTGAACTGTCCCATTAACAGGAACTAATCATAAACTTGATTTATACATGTAAAAGCCTATATTTAGATAAAGATAATATTGATGATTATGTAAAGAAATATTGAAAGTGCAGTATATAATATTAAAAGCTAGAGGCTGAAATGGCTACAGCAGTCCAAATTCAAAATATTAGAGAGAGTTGTTTCTCCCGCTCACACGGGTTGCCAGATTGAGGACACGCAATAGGTACGAGCGCAATGGAAGGCAGCGACTTTAATACGTCTCTTGTCAGAGCTTTTTAGAAGGATACTGAGGCTTTTTAGGTCGGGTAGAATCCGTGATCTCTGAACTGGTTCATTTGCTGCTTCCATGGCTGCAATGCACTGTTTTCCACCAACTGGCAACCCAGGGTTTTGAAATAAACTGGGGCGGAGTCACACCGACCAAAACAAAAACAGACATTTCATCACAGAACATACATTTCTAAGTAGAATAACTGGCTGTAGCTTATTTGTCGGAGAAATATTTATGTGAACTTGGCTTGTTTCCTAAATATCTGTAAACATATGGTATTTTTTATGCATCAGAACAGTCAAAAAAAATTACATGCAGCACCTTTAAGGACTCAGTGTTCAACAAGCCGAACAGAGAAGCACCACAGTAACACATCGTGTGATGGAGAGGAACTAATACAGCACTGCACATGAACAGTTGCAGATAGCACAGCGTTCTCTGTGAATTGTAGCACTGAGTTTGTCAGAGAACCACTGCTTCTCCATTTCATCGTCAGAGTCGAGCACAGATGTAAACACGACATTAATCATGTTCAATTAAGACAGAGAAGCAGCTGAAGAAGTGTGTGTGTGTGTGTTTGTGTGAGTGTGTCTGTATGTTAACAGAGAAACTCATTAGGGACACAGGAGCTCTGAAACACAACTGGGTTTGCAGCTGTGATCCTCCACCGTCCTGCAGAACATCTGAGCCTCATAAATCCTAGTGAGACTACAGCGCTCTCCTTCTCTCTCTCTCACACACACACACATCCATTTAAAGACGTGTGGCTTTTAATCCCAGCATCCCCCAACTCAACTCGTTTACCTGGACGAGGAATCACTCGAACACAGTCCATCCCTGTAAAACACACATTTTAATATTTCCACACATTCTGCTGAAACGTCACAACTCTTTTTTTTGGTTTTCTAACTCTATAATACGTTTTTTTTTATATATACAAAATCACTTTAAATTTTTAAAAACATTATAAACATGATTTTTAAAAATGTAAAACGCGGCAAGAGATGCCCACCTGTCTGAGTAATAGGAATCAATGTAGCCATGTGTCCTTTTTTTGTTTCTACGAAGAAAAGGCCACAATTAGTCAACAAATACACAAGGTTTGAGTTTGCCAAAAATATCTGAATTCTATTCTGCATAAAATATATATGGCTTTTATAAGGTTTAAATAAGGTTAAACACCAACAAGTCAATGTTCTTCCAAAACTCAAGCAGAAACATCTTTCATTTTCAAATTTACATCAGTGTGAAGGGAATCACGGAATCCATAAAAATGGAATTTACAGTAAAACGCGGAATGTCACAGAATTTAAAATCTAAATTAATACAGACTATTGTCGGTGAGTGGTAAACCGTGAAAAGACTGCAACAAATACACAAGGTTTGAGTTTGCCAAAAATATCTGAATTCTATTCTGCATAAAATATATATGGCTTTTATAAGGTTTAAATAAGGTTAAACACCAACAAGTCAATGTTCTTCCAAAACTCAAGCAGAAACATCTTTCATTTTCAAATTTACATCAGTGTGAAGGGAATCACGGAATCCATAAAAATGGAATTTACAGTAAAACGCGGAATGTCACAGAATTTAAAATCAAAAGTAGGGCTGTACATCATGATTTGATTAATACAGACTATTGTCGGTGAGTGGTAAACCGTGAAAAGACTGCTATTTAAATATGAAGTCTGTTCTTTCTCTGTGTGAGTGAGTGAGTGCTGCAGGTTTAGCTGCTGCACATACTCCAGCACAAGTGTATTATTTTCAGCATTATTAAAGGACTACAACTTTATTTTTTTAAGGAATATCACAATTTTACTTCCAAGTTTTAATTAGAACAGTAACCCTCTGTTGTGCAGCATTGTTTCCCAAAAAAAGCATTGTTAAAAATGTATTTGATTATATTTGAAAATAGTACATATTTAATATTTTATGCCAATTGATTACCAAACTTTTTTGTCATAAAACCATACAAATTAAAATAGACAACACAGAATAAATATATAAATATATATAAAAAATAATACTAAATTACATTGATTAAACATGCTTTTTAGCATGAAAATGTAATTAAAACAATTAAAACAGGGAAAAAAGGGGAACACAGAATTTGAGAAAAAATAAAACTGTAATTTGGGGGGAAAAAATTAAATATAAATTTTAATTACACTTTTCATTATTTTTTTGTTAAATTGTTTAAGTTTAATTATCTAAATTAATTATACATGCTTTCTTGCTAAAATTGACTTTAATCATTAAAATGAAATCCAGAAAAACTATAATGAAAAAAAAAACAGATTTCAAGCGGGGAAAAGTTTTGCTTTTTACGAAAATTTACATCAATCATTAAAATGGAACACAGAAAAAAAAGGAATACTAATGTGAAAATGATTATTTTTTTCATCACTTCACATGAGGACAGTAGAGTGGCATCATTTGCAACCCCTAGCATTTACAAAGAAGCTACTTCCTGACAGACGTTCTAGGTCTCCTCTTACAGCAACGTCTCACTCCTTTGTGTGATTCCATCTTTTCTACATTCCTTTCTTTTGTTCGGCTCGGTGCAGCCACACTGGCCCATAAACACCATGCTCTCTCCATCCCCCTCTCGTTATCTGTTGTCTATGTACAGCAGACAAGCTCATGCAGTAAAGCCAGTCTATCACTGCCAAGATTTCACTGCCCACTACTGGATACCGCATGAACTGCAGCACAACTGTCCCATCTACAAGCATTACTCACATGTGCTCTTATTTTCCCTTAATATCTTCCTGTCCTAGTTTTTAATAGTTTTGAACGATGACTGAAAACTTGTGTAAATGGACACTTCTTGTGTTTATTGCCATCTTATGATGACTCGCTTGTTTACTGCAAGTCATTTTTGAAAAAAGCATCTGCCGAATGAATAAATGCAAAATGCAAATAACTCACACAAGGAGCTAGGATTTGTGAACAAGACAGGCAAAGTTAAAATGTTTTGTTATTTATTGGTAACACTTAACAAAAAGATCTCATTAGTTGACTTTAATGAATTAACTAACAGTAACTCACAATGACCAATACATTTGTTACAGTATTAATAAATACTGTAACAAAATGTACTGCTCATTGTAAGCTAATGTTAGTTAATGCAACTTTGTTTAAGTTAATAAATATACCCCCCCCCCCTTAATTTTAATAATGTATTAGCAAACCTTGAAATTAATATTAAGATTAATAAGTATTTTCATCGTTAGTTAACTAATGTTAACAAATGGAACATTATAAAGTGTATAATCCTGTTATTATTAATCCTATCCTATTATTAATCCTTTTATTTCTTTGTGAACATTGTGTTGGTTTTTGTTTTGTTTTTGTGGCCTATAAGCTTCCTAAAAACTATGCCATTGGTCCAGTTTCACATCTGCTCCTTGGGTTGTGAGTAGTTATATGACAAAAATATGTTCATACAGTTTGTGATTCAAAACTAAATAGCAAAAATGTCAACAGAATTTAAGACGTTTGGTTGATTTCTGGTGAATCATTTCTCTCAAATGGTGCATTTCAATGAATCAGTTCACTGATAAACATGTTTACTCAAGTATTTTAGATACATTTATGCTTTACACATAGATAAATATTGATGTTTATTAATTTTTTTAAATATCATAGCATGTAAAAATAAACATGCATTGTGTTTTGCAGATTTAAAATGCAGATTTACTTCTTGCATAATAGTGGATTCTCAGTTATGGTTCCTCTAAATCATTTAAAATCTTTACAAAACAAACATAAATGCCCATGAAATAAAATGTGATGAAACTGCATATAGATGCACACAAAGTTTTCCCAACTGGTGAATACATCAAAAATGGTCACAAGAGTAACAAAATAAGTAAATCAGGATACCAGCAGCCTTAGTTTAATCTCTGTGTTTGGGACACTATGAAGTGCATGTTTGTTGTTGGTCTGTTTGTGTGACACTAACCATCTGCGCGCCCACATTGGAGTTGACGGTTCCTAGTGTGATCTTGGTGGCTGGGCTGTAGCTGGATGGTGTTACCAGGGAAATGTTGCCTGCAAACACAAACACAGTTAAGCTGAAGTTCACAAATAAGAGCTGAGAGCTACTGAGAGGAAAACACATTTCACAGACCAGCAGAGGCTTGAATGGATCACAGAATTGACAGAATGGAAATGAATTAGTTCTCTCAAGCAGATTAAGTTTTACAGCCTGTTTGCAAAGCATAAATGCCACTCGCATTACTTGGATGTAGTGATGTAATGTTGTGCTTTTTCAACGGAAAAGAAAAAAACTAAATTCTGCCAATTCAGCAGCATCAGTCCTGAAAAATGACTATTTACTGGTGAATCATGCTGAACACATTCTGATGAAGTTGCATGTTCTGCTTCTCAAACTCTTTTTATGACGAGACGCATGTTTTCAAACTCTATGGGGCAAGTTGTCACAAGCGAAACCTGTCATCAATCAGTCCATTACAGGCTTTGCAGTAAAAAGTAAAACAATTATGACATGCAAAAGAAATCAAACTGCTGAACCGAAGCACTGTTCAGTGTATCAAACTGAACTGAACTGCTCTGAATTGACAAAAAATGCTTTTAAATCTGAACAGACTTGCGGTCAACTCCTATTGTACTTCAAGTGCATTTCCTCTGCAATGCATGTGGGAGTGATTGATTTCCCACTGCTTTCAGTCAGATTCAAAGAGAAATGAGTGGCTTTAAAAACATATCTGGACACTTTAAATAAAAAATAATGTTGACTTAGATAATAAAGCTGTCAAACTAAGTGGCATTGCATTTAAAAATAAATAGCATAAGGACACATTTCAAGCAAAACTTTTCACAAAATGGTTTGTCAAACTTTAGTGGAGCATGTTCATAGTTAACCCTGTAAAGCCTGACATATGAAATAAAAGTTTTTTTTATTATTTATTTATTTTTAAATGGAAGAGTTTACTGAACCTAAGTTTTCTAATGTGTTTTTGTTGAGTATCATTTGAAACATCAGGCTGTTATGGCTCATATTTCATATGGAGATCAAACTCGGGTTCATTCAGAGGCCCAGACTGAACAAATATATCACATTTATATAGACTGGTTTTCCTTTGCTAAAGTAAGCAAACTTTGCCTCCTTTGATTATTATATTTTGAATATGGATATTTTTCTTACAAAAACGCATCGATTCGCTACAGGAGGCCTTTGTTCCCCCAGACACTTTTTTTTATGGATGGGCGATTTTTATTTAACTTCTTTTGGACTGAAGCATGCAACACCCGCTGAGTGACATTAAACAGCTTGAAAGATCAAAGACCATTTTTAATATAACTCCGAAAGGATTCGTCTGAAAGAAGAAAGTAATATACACCTAGGATGCATCGGGGGTGAGTAAAACGCAGCCTAATTTTCATTTTTGGGTGAACTAACCCTTTAAATGTAAAAACTATCAGACGACTGAAAGTATGTAGCAGATTGCGTTCAACAGGTTTCAAAGTTTTGATCATTCAGTCCTTAGAAATTTGCATATCAAACATAATAATACAGCAGGTTTTCTGGTTTAAAGTGATTCTCTACACCTGTGGTTCCTCTAGGACTCCTGTGTGAACACATCCACTAAAACCACTGCAGCATCCACTGGTTAAATGTTACTGCATAATGTCTCTAAAAAGTGAGTTTTCTGTGAGTTTTGAGAAAAGCTCTAGTATAATTTCTTTGTAGATGTCACTTAATTGCATCCCTTGCAACAACATCAAACATGTTTAAGCGTGCCAGTACTGTGTAACAGTGACTCTCAGCCATGAATGTCTCCTTTAGACCCCAGTAAGTGATTGTTGTAGTATTTTGCAGTATTTTGATAGAGGCCAAGACACTATAAACGCTTTCATTGAATTCTGTGGTGTTTTCTGAATGGGAATGCAAATCATGTAAAGGTTGTGGCATATCAGATGCAAAACCATGCAAATGGGCCTCGCAAACAAGCAACGGAGTGAACACACCCAGTACTGTCTGAATGAGACGACGTCCCACACACACTCCAAACACACCGTCCTGAACACGGTCAGATCTACTAGCCGTCTGTGACGCTCACAGTGCGTCTTTGTCTGGCTACAGCTGCAGTCGAGATGTCGGACTGTGTTTACAATGTTCTATTGACTTTATATACCAACTACCAATACAAAGCAGCTCTCATGCTTTTCATAAAGTACAACAGCAGATGTGGTCATGACTCATTGAAATAAATGAAACGTGGTTATGATTGCCTCTCTAAAAGAGCGCGCTACTGAAAGTGACCAATCATAGAACAGCACACCACACATTATTAGCTACTTCATGCTAGATGCTATTAGACACTTGAGTGCATGACACCCAGATACATCTTTCTATCTATTTTACTGATTATCCATCAATGATTTTTCAATGTTTTAAACTCTCAAATTTCAGAATCAAAGCTGTTTGGCATCAGTGCCGTCAAACCTGGTGCGACACATGCACCTTCCGCCATGTGCCAATACACACACACAAATTACATTTAAAGTCGGTCTGAAACAGAAATTATGATCGTCCATTCACGGGACGGGACTTGATTTTGTTTATCAGGAATTGACTGGATCATTGTCGTTTCCTAACTGTGATTGTTTCATGTGGGTGTCAGACTCCTCTGGCTGTCAGAAAGCCTTATTATTCTGCCCTCACATTAATGATCAAGTCATCAGAAAAGCGTTGTCGTTTCTGTTGAAAGATTATGCAGGAACACTTTATAAATGATGTGCACAGATAAATCATTTACAATAAACACTGTAATATTCCATGAAAACAATAAGAATTGTCTAGTTTGATTTGACTTCTAAATGTAGATTGGCGATAATCGGTTCAACCGATATTTTCCCTGATATTTAAGCATTTTTCCATAAACGGATATCAGTTTTGTAGTATTGGACACACCAATAAATGCACCATCTTTGGGCGTTTTGAGAACTGCAATACTGCAAGAAACTTGCTTTAATTAAAATAACAGCCATTAATGCACAAATGAGATGCGTCATATTATTAAATAAATTAAATGTTGAATTAAACAAAACATTAATACTCTCCCTGTTGACGATGCTTATAAATATAGCCTCGGTTGATGCTCAGGGATGTCCTAGCATGCCCACAATATGTAGCTTTTAAGAAGATCCACTCATTTAAAACTAAATTATTTTAACATTAACTGCATAACTTTCGTCAAAAATTATCTCGCAGATAAACAGTTTGTTCAGTTCAATGCTAACAACTGTGACTAAAACAAAAGTGAAACAATCGGTTCTGCATATTGGTTATCAAGACATTGGTGCAAATAATCAGTGCAAATAATCAATATTGTTTATTAAAAAAATATATAATTCAATTTCTATTTATGAGCTGTACTGGAGACGACAACAAATTTCATTCTGTTCCTCAAACACATTGTATTCATACATTTTATAGGTATTTTTTCATCCTTATTAAGGCTTGACAGCTTTCATTTATGGAAAAAGTGGTTCAGCTATTCCTTCTGTGTTCTGTGGAAGTCAGTCATACAGCTTTCAAAGAACATAAATGATTGTGAGAACTGTCAAAGTAATTTTTAAGGGCAACCATTCTGTAAAATTTCAAACCCAGTTCAAGTATTTCATATTGAAAGGTAAGAAAGTGCCAGAGTGGTCTGAATGAATCGTCACAATCTGCTCCAGATGGTGAGTGTACAGCAGCAGGACTGGCTGCAGTCTGAAGGGGTTTTGTGCGAGGTCTCAGCGGAGGAATGCCTCAGTGCCACACGCTCTTTACAGCAACAATGAGCAAAGCCACATTAGAATACAGCTGAGCAGCAGCCCAGGACACACACACACACAAATATTGAGCCCAATGTGTGCGCTATATCATAAACCACACACACAGTGTGCTCAGCGTAACACAAATGCATGATACACACCGATAAATGCAAGTGCATAACGGAAGACATCAAAAAGAAAACACTGCTATACATGGGCCAAGACAACAGGAGGAAAACACACTGTTACTTCCTGGGGCAGCCCAAACAGACTCCAGCGTTCGCTCAACATGACTCGAAACCACATCAGTGCCTGAGAAACATCAGAGAGACTCTCACCAACGACCAAACACAACAACCCAGCTCTGCAGCGACAAAAACACTCGCTTAAACGCATATCTGGAACCACATTACACTCTTAAAAATAAAGGTTTGGGCTACATTTCAGCAAACGGTTCTTAAAAGAAAACTGGTTTTTCTAATTGTGAAGAACATTTTAATAAAGAACCTTTTTGCACATTTTAGAACATTTAGTGCATTTGAAAGGTTCCACTGATGTTAATGGTTCTTTATATAAAAAAAGAACCTTTATTTATAAGAGTGTGGAAAGCAATAAGATTATTTTTAAAAAAGAAAAATAAAGAGGTATTTTCTTTATAAAGCTATTTGAAAAGTTATAAAATTATACAAAGTTTGTACCTTCCTCTTTACCTGTTTGTTTATGAAGCGGCACGACAAGCACCTCCATACTTCACCTTTAACTATTCCTTTCCTAATAAAAAGTTCAAGTTCTAGTCCCGCACACAGACTGGGACGTCCGCTTCACCCCTCCCCCTGAACACAGAGCCGTGGATGAACTTCCACAGTGACCCAGAGAGAGAGAGAGAGAGAGAGAGAGAGAGAGAGAGAGAGGTGTGCTCCTCTCAGCATGCCGTCCCGACACACGTGCAGCCTTCCCAGCTGCTCCGACACAATCCCTGAATGCCTCAACAAAGAGAGTGGCAGAACGGGAAAAAAGCATGGGTGCAGGATTTACCTGAAGAGGAGTGGAGGGCATGTTTCAAAGGCAGGCTGGGACCTGGTGTCCCTCTCTTTCCCTGTGTGTCCCTTTTGTTACCATTCAGTGGAAACTTGAGAGGCTGGCCAGGCATTGCCGAGCGAGCGCAGAGGGAGTCCACCCGGCCGCACTTGGACTTTCACCCGTGCCGGGTGGGAAACGTGCTCAATGAGAGAATGTGCGCGCCTGCTGCAGGACGTCCTCCCTCC